CTTTTTAATCTAGCAGATCTCCTTGCATGTGAATTAAGCTTCTCTTCCCCCCCCCCAATTGCATTGCACATCGGTTTAGTTATGTTACTCTTACTTGTTTTGTATTCATATTGCCTTGGAGTTCAGACTTGTTCTAATGACTTGGCAGATAGGAAAGAACTACAGGTCTGTAATGTTACTCTTACTTGTTTTGTATTCATATTGCCTTGGAGTTCAGACTTGTTCTAATGACTTGGCAGATAGTTAGGAAAGAACTACCGGTCTGTAACTCGGTGTCCTTCAGACTTTGGCTCTAAACACAGTGGCTGCAAAGTGTGGAAGTGCAAATAAGCAATAAATGAAGGCAGGTATCTGAAGATGTCTGTGAGTTCTGAAGTGTGCAGGGCATGACAGCTAAACTTGACTTCTCTTGCAGATTGATAGGCAGCAGTTTGAAGAGACTGTCCGAACACTGAATAATCTCTATGCAGAAGCTGAAAAACTTGGGGGCCAATCTTACCTTGAAGGGTGTCTCGCCTGTCTGACTGCCTATACCATCTTCTTGTGCATGGAGACACATTATGAAAAGGTGCGCTTCTCTTGTTTACCTTGTTACTTGGAAGGCAGTAGTCTCATTAGACTTCAATCAAAGAGTTATTTCTTGGTAGGATTTCTGTGACTCGCACCGTTGTTGTACTAACTCCGTGTAGACTCTGGATCTTACTGCAGAGTGATTGCATATATACATCAGACAGACTTGTCTGTGTTAGTCCATTTGAGTAACATAATGATTGCTTGTACTTCAGAGGAATCAACAAGTTCTGTCTCCGGTTGTGTGCTATGCTCTCCTAACGTTGCTGTATCTGTGATATTGCTGTGGCTCTAACTCTAAACCTGATTAAGGAACTGTGACGTCTGTGCTGTTCTATTACCAGGTTCTGAAGAAAATTGCCAAGTTCATTCAGGAACAGAACGAGAAGATCTATGCTCCTCAGGGCCTCCTTCTGACAGACCCCATTGAAAGAGGACTAAGAGTTGTATCCTTCTGTGGTTTCTTAGGTTGCTGTCTGGTTTGTCCATCTATGATGTGCGACCTGTTTATCTCGGTACGGCACCCTCTGGTTGTGCTTCATGTGTGATACAGCAGAATATGGACTAGTCTTGTTAATCTCCATTGTGTACTGTTCTCTGGTCAGATTTTAGTACGTTAAGATTTGTCATATCAAAAGACAATGAAAATGCAATATTGGAACTTGTCCTTCAAGACTTCCTTAAAAACGCAGCATGTATAAACAGAGTACTTCCAACACTTTAGATGCTTCCCCTATTTCAGTGACCTCTAAAAATGCAGTTTGTCCAATTGGAAAAAAAGTGAGCAACTTAATAGGATGGAAAGTGATAACATGAAAACAAGAGATGGCTGTTGTAACCCTCAGCTCAGGTTCTGGTGAAGATTTTGCCATGTGACATCATCACTGTGATTGATACAAGTCTAGCACTTGCTCTTGGTTCTCGCTTGGCTTATTTTAACCTTTTTTTCTTCAACTCTTGAACCACACTGCAGGCATTTTATCTAGTTATTACCTTAGTAGTTGTAAAGACCTTGCATAGCAAATCTAGGGGTAGAATGAGTAACGCATATCATTTTTTGAGAATATTGAAACCGAAGCAACTTGAAACACAGAATGCCAATTAAATGTATGCTAAGGCTAATTCCTTGCAGTCGGGTTGTCTGTGTATGTAGGTGACAGCTATAAGCTGTTTAGACACATGACTTCATTACTCTCAATATGTTTTCTACATTTTTTCTATGCACACATCTCCGGGAAAAAAACCCAACATTCAACTTGAGTAAAAGCATTTTCAGTTTGGTCAGTGACTTAGTACTGAACTGTAGCAGTGGTAACTTTTGTCTAGCGCGTAGCCTTTCCTGAAATTTGACACAAGGTGCAAGGCTTCTCAAACCCTCCACGCACAGCTACTTGTGTTCTTGTTGTCAGAACAGTCCTGGACTGGATAGACCGCTGATCTGACCTGTCAGGGCATCTCTTATGTGTTTGTAATGTTTTTCCACTTTTTTTTTTAATCATCTTTTTATAGTATGTTTTCCTAACAGCTTTTCTGTGCAGATTGAAATTACCATTTATGAAGACAGAGGTATGACCAGTGGAAGATAAAACCGTGGAGTCTCAGGTATGTGCTGACCTCACACTAGATCGATCTGTTTTCTGTGCTCAGAGGGGTAGATTCTGTCATACTGAGACAGGATATTTATCCCACCAGTGTATGTAATGAAAGGCTGGTCACATATATCTTGTGTGGACTATGTTTTTGGAATAAGTAGAAATACCAGTACTTGGCATTATGCCACTGAGTGTTAGTACAGATCAGATGATACCAGATTTACCTTTAGAGAAATTCAGGTCTTGATTGTATAAATATGTGTAAACCCATATTATGTTATGTCCAAAATTGTTCTCTGTTCTGTAGATAAAAATCTTTTTTTATTCTCTTGAAGCTTTTCTGTCATAAGGTTCCGAGCACACAAACTTAAGACTAACCCTTAAATCTGGATTTTAAAATACGTGACTATATAAATGCTTATTGTGGATCTCCAAACACTTTTCAGACTAATAGCATGAGAGAAATAGTGAAGGAAAATCGTCAGTGGTGCTATACTAGCACCTGCTCTGCCTATACTGCTGTGAAAGATACAGGTTTTCCTTTTGAATATTTTCCATGGTGCCTCACACTAGGGTCTAGTTTAAAAGCTTCCATGTTTTGAGCACTTCTGAAATCAAGGTCATAACCACAGTATGTTAAGAATCCCCTTGTATTTTGCCTAGAAGTCAATATTATTAGCCCCAGAATCTGGAACAAATGAATGTGAGTAATGACATTTTACCTTCTTGGTTCTAAGTGTATAGAAGATTGACTTCTGTATACTGTTGAACAGCAGCTTTTCCGTTCCAGAACGGACTGAACAGAGCACTACTGTTATCAGGGCTGACACTTTGGTTTCATGTGCCAAGTGGTGGGATCCTTCCAAACCTCTCCTGCTCAGAAACATTTGATAAGATACTGTATAAATACAGAATATCTTATCTGCTGTCCTGAATCTTGGAATATTGCATATTCTAAGAGTCAAATCTTGCACAGCCTAAAGGGAAAATGCAAGTTACTATACTTGGTAGTATTACTAAATTCTTTCAGTGCTTTTTCTAACCTGTCTCTGCTACACGTCTTGAGGATAGAGAGGCTTTTGGTAGTCTGCTTGTGATTGACCGATACTTACAGTGCATATAAACCAGATTAATGTACTACAAGCTGGAGCAAACCATGACAAGAAGTTCTGGTAAAGCAAAACAGTGAAGATTGTTGCTGTTGCATACCTGTTTCTAAACAACTCTGGCTCGTAACTTGGCATTGTTTGTAGATGCCAATTCTGTCTCAAAATATCCTTCTTTATCTGGTTCTTAGCACTTGGGAACCTGTTGTATTGCACGGCACTTGTGTTCTGCTGTTGGAATAAGTTTGTGTGTTATCAACTGCATCTGCATATATTGGGCATAAGCCATTTGCCGTGACTTGTTTCACAGCAATTATTGCAGAATGGTTTTGTAGGTGATGTGGGTTTTGAGCAATTACATAAGCTAGTTCATAGAATCACAGACTGGTTTGGGTTGGGAGGGCCTTAAAGGCCATCTCATTCCACGCCCCTGCCATGGGCAGGGACACCC